TTTCCCTCCCCCCTCCCTTGCATTCAGGCAACACACTGCGAATTATTGCAAAAGTCTTCTGTCCTGCCTGGGTTTCCCCAGAAACTGTATTGGCAGTTTTGAGCAGCAGAGGGCACTGTGGCCTATTGCAAGTGTGCACACAATACAGAGAGCAGACATGAAATCTTTGCAGTCAGTCATGCCACATTTTGTTGGTGGGAATTTGTTGACCTGTAGCAGTGGTGTGGTGGGAAGAAATTCAGTTTGGGAAGCTTTGCTCGAGAATGACAGCGCTGGATCAGTGGTGGGGTAAAGGTTCCTGCTGTAGTTTCTGGTCACCTGGTTGCTGAAGGCACAGTAACCCTTTCAAGGAGGGAAAAAAAAAAAGGAAAACGATTTGCAGTATGCAATTCAGCCAGCGTTAGAGTCGTGAGTGATAACTCTCATTTTAGCGAAGTTACCTGCTGCAGATGTGGTTGCCACCTTTCCCCTGCCAGGGTTATTCTGTCTCTCGTTGCAGCTGTACTGCAAAGGGATGTCGAAAGTGGTTCTTTTCCTAGCAGGGATGTAAGGTCATGGAAGAAACTGTAGCTGTTTAATTTCTGCTGCTAAAAGCAGAGGGCACCCTGACCTGGTTGGCCCAGGCTACCCAGACCTCGCCTGATCTTGGAAGTTAAGCTGGTTAGTTCTTGGATGGGACCTCCAAGGAAGTCCAGGGTCACCACGGCAGAGGCAGGCCATGGCAAACCACCTCTGCTCATCTCTTGCCTTGAAAACCCCACGAAGGGGTCACCATAAGTTGGCTGCAGCTTGGCACCGCTTCCCGCCACTGAAGGCAGAAGAGCTGCCCAGTCCAAAATTAAGCCGTCACTAACTAAATCTGGTTTTATAACGGTGGGCGCTTGAAAGGCGTCAGTGGCCTGGGATTTGATTACTGTAGAATAGTGACCTGGGAAAAAAATCAAGCCGTGGTCAGGCTGCAAGGGAACGGGGTTCTGTCTGCTCTTTGAAATTCGTCTCTCTCGGCTTCCAGCATTTGTGAGGAGAGCTGCAGTTTCCTGCCTCCCAGTCCCTCTAGGAAAGACCTGGAAGGCAAAAGTGGAACGAAAGTGAGTCGGACTTTCAGCTACCTGAAGAATAAAATGTCCAGCGGCAAGAAGAGCAAAGTAAGTAGCTTGAGACTTACTCACTTTCTCTGTCTTCTTGGTGCTTGGGGGGGGGGGGTCAACAGTGGGAGGGCTTCTAATATCCTGGCCCCACTGGTGGACCTCCTGATGGCACCTGGTATTTCTGGCCACTGTGTGACACAGAGTGTTGGAATGGATGGGCCTTTGGCCTGATCCAACATTGGCGTCTCTTATGTTATGTGGAGTCTCGTGAGCTGGTGGCTCGTGCGTGGCTTGATGACAATGAGCGGTGTTGCACATGCACTGTCTTGGCTCTTAGAGCATTGGCCATCAGATTCTAAGGTTGGGCTCCTACTCCCCACCAATGTTCCCTCTAAGCTGTGGAGTCTCGTGAGCAATTATTCTGCTTTGTGAGCTACTGGCATTAAAGCTGTGAGCGAGCAATTTGGCTACTGCATAAATTAGTTGTCTCTGGAGCCATCCTCCCTGAGCTAAGACAAAAATGTGTGAGCCAGAGGCTAAAAAACTGTGAGCTAGCTCACACTAACTCAGCTTAGAGGGAACACTGCTCCCCACCAGAGGTGGCTGCAAGTTATCTAGACAGAAAATGGATCCAAGGAGAGATGCAGCTGGATGGATGCTCCTGCCTTCAGTAGAGGTGACACCCTTCAGGTGCCCGGATTGCAGTGCTGACCATTGAAGCTGCAGAGAGGCAAGGAAGGTGTGGGCTAGAAGCCCTCCCCCCCCATTTGGATAAATTGAGGAGGGGAGTCTGAGACGCCCGTTCTAGTCTAACACCAGTGCTGGGTTAGAGCTTCAGTGGGGAGATCCTCAGCGGCTCTGGGCGAAAATTCTGCGTGTTTGTCTACCAAAGGGTTGGGAGAGGCTCGAGGAGTCTGTGAGTTTGTTTCAAGTATAAGAATCCGTTTGCCATTTCCGTATTGCCCGAAATGTTTTCGAAGGCTTGAGAAACTGGCCGTGGGGTTCCCTGTGCACTCCCAGGTTGTCCAGGCCTGTGGAATGTGTGTTTTCCAGTGCTGCCCTTACTGTTAGATAAGCTGTGCCATAAGATGGACTTTGGAGCATGTCAGCATGTTAATTTTTCTTAAGAGGAATCGGTAGCAGAGTTGATGATATGCACATGGGCTTGTTAGCATTGAAATGATAGAACTTTTGGTAGTTTAATAAATGGTTATTGCGTTAAGATAAATTTATGTCCGTACTGGGGAAATAGGGTACGTTCAGTAGGCCCGATTTCAGGCACTTCAAATAGATGCTTTGTTGGAGGCTTCCCTTGGCTGTGGGTGATCCTGCTGGCTGGGGAACCGTTTGACTTTTTTGCAGAGATCAATTTCCTTCAACAGAGAAAAATATTAAGGTTAGAGGAAGAAACTTGGAAGGTATTCTGGCTGGCAGACTGGAAGTGTCTTTTATAGCAGGCGTGTTCCTATGTTACAAGTGAATGCACTGTAGGTGGGCTATAAGTCAAGTTTTTAAAAATTGCCATTGGCCTTTTTCAAATGTGACCACACATACAGAATGAATGTGCTACGCATGATTCTCCTGACATACGTGTTCACCGTTTCTTCTGAAAGGGTCAGTGCAGGGATTTTTCACCTCAGTAAACCTATACCAGACCCTAGATTAATCTGGGGTCTCGTATCGGTGCTCTGAAGCTAGAACATGCAGACGTTACCCCTTTCAGGGAAAAACAGCCATTATAATGCTGATGCCTGTTGAGATTTGGGGTTTAAAATTGTGGAGACACAGCCAGTGCCTACGTTTACCTAGACAGCAAGAAAAATTGTGAAACTCTGAGGAATTTCAGACGGACGATATAGTCCAGAAGAGGGACGGTTCCCAAACAGTTTCTGGTCTGTCATTTCAGACAGAACCGTTTTAGAACCGGTTCCCTACCGGAATATATTTGTAATTTCACACACAAACGCTTCTGTCCCATTTAGGAAACGGGGCTGAAGCATTTTACCTGTCAACCACTTCCAAGTAGTCTTCAGTTTCCTCTCCCGGTTCCAATGCGCTTTTTCCCGCCGTTTTTTGCCCGCGTTGGCGATCTCCGGCTTTTTTTTTTTGAAACGGTCGCTTTATATCGTTATATAGTGTTGTGTTATAGCACTATAGTGCTATAGCGCTCTAAAGCGAACGTTTTTTTAAAAAAAGCCGGAGATCGCCCACACGGGTGGAAAACGGTGGGGGGAAAGCGGTGCAGTCTGAAATGGCAAACCGCTTCAGATCCAGCTCTTTACCGGAAGGGGAAAGCCATGTGTGAAATGGCAGCCATGACGGATCAAAAACGGCTTCAAAACGGGTTAAAAAGGGTAATGTGAAATTCCTCTCTTTCTGGGCTATGCCTTATTATGGGAACAGGTAGAGGAATGTCATCACTGAATATATGTGTGTAAAAAGCCAGCATACGAAGGAGAATGCTGAGCTAGAACTCTTCTCCCTGCTTGCTAGTTTAATTTATTTATTTCCTTCGTTTTACGTATTTATTTGTTTCATTTCTCCCCGGTGGGGACCCAAACCTTAAATCATTCTCCTGTCTTTGATTTTATCCTGACAAGAACTCTGTGTTATAAGTGGGTAAGAGAGTGAGTGAGTGAGTGGCCCAAGGGTCGCCCAGCAAGCTCCCATGGCAGGGCAGGGATCTGAATCGGGATCTCCCAGATCCCTGCCCAGCACTCTTAACTACTACACCACACTGGCTCTTATTAGTTAGATCAAAGTCGGCAGCCGTGTTGGTCTGGAGCAACAGAACAAAGTTTGAGTCCAAGTGGCACCTTTAAGACCAACAAAGTTTGATTCTGAGCATAAGCGGGCACACGAAAGCTTATACCCAGAATTAAACTTTGTTGGTCTTAAAGGTGCCACTGGACTCAAACTTTGTACCTAGTTAGTTAGGTAAAGGGATTTTTTAAAAAATAGAGGTTTTGATATAAAGAATATTCAACAAGGCTCTTCCCTCATCATCAGCATAAAGTGAGAGTCGATGTGTTTATAGATACCGGGTGTCCAAGGGAACATCCATCTCAATATAGTCCCAGGGTTTAGTGCTTAATATGTTGCTTTGGAACAGGCAAAGAGACCATTCATTTCTGTGTGTCTGTTTTAAAAGGAATGGTTCCTTTATGGGTTCCCTCCCCTCCGCCGCCCATTACAGTATTGTAGTGGTTAGATTGTTAGACAAGGATCTGGGAGACCCAGGTTCAAATTCCACTCTGCCTTGGAAGCTCGCTGGGGGACCTTTGGCCAGTCACTCTCTCGGAAACTCACAGAGTTGTTGTGAGGATAAACTGGAGGAGGGGAAGACAGTATGTGTAACTTTTGGTGCCCATTGTGGCCAAAATGGGGTATAAATATCCAGGGGTCATTTCGTAGAAAAAGAGGTGCAGGAGCTCATTAGCGTAAATCATTAGCATAACTCATTTGCATATGCCACACCCCCTGACATCACTGGAAGTGTATCAGAAGGTGAGGGCTTCTGGGAGCATAATAACAAGCTTGTTGCTTGTGCACGCCCCCTGGGATCTTTACTGCCGGAGCTCCGCTCCTGTGCGCTCCTGCAGGAAATGACCCCTGTAAATATCTAAGTAAATATATTTTTTTCAAAGTGATATGATCCAGGAGGACCTATTGTACAATCTCCCCTGGTGTTTGTCTGAGTTTATCCCACGACTTTCTACCATTTTAGATGTTCCAAGTTTCTTGTGTTCACGCTCTGAGAATCAAGAGAGCTCTGTTGACACAAGTCTTCTAAGAAATGTAGGTGGAAAACGGATTTAGTAAGAACCTGCCTCACGCTTGGGGAAGACGGACAGAGTTGCTCCAGTTCTTCTCTTGTCACAGACACAGAGTTGCTCCAGTTCTTCTCTTTTGACAGACAGCAAAACTTGACAGGGATAGGAGCAAGTTCACAGGTCGGACCTGGTGGCGCATCGCATGCCGAGGAGGGAGTGGTTCTGCTTGTGTGTAGTAGATGATGCAGAATTGCAGTCGGGATTGTGTTTAAGCTGAAGCTCATCAGTATGGGAAAATGAGAGGGTAACCTTCATTCAACATAACAGACTGTTCAAAATGAAGTAACATTGGGGCTGCTGTTGGCGGTGGACGTTTGTTTTCTTTTAAAAATGCTCTGCGTGGAAAAGATCGAGACGGCTTCACTGGAAGACGCTGCTTTTTGTTCTAAAGATTACAACACCCCTAAGTGGTTGTGCAAGGCAAGCCAGTTTCCTTTTGCGGGCCTGCGTGTCTCTCCCTTATGTGTGCAGAAGTCTTGGAGACTTCTGAATTGCCTCTATCTGTAGACAGCCCAGTAGACTGACCCCCTCCCCTTTCTTTTGTTCCCAAGCACACCATCGCTGCTTTCTTTGAAGTTTTAAGTTCTCTTGCTTTATGCAAGTTACGGCTTTGAAAGAGCATCCAACAAGCATCTTAATTTCCATGTAGACAGTGTTCCACAAAGCCTGTGAAAGAAATCCTCCACAAAGTCTTTTACTAGGGTTACGTTGCATACCAAGAAAACATGCTAATAAAACTTTCAAAAACCCACCAACAACTTAATTTTTTTTCTAAACCAAAGCGTTTAACCAAATATTTAAAACTTAGGAGCTGATCCCCCCCCCCCCCATAAGGATTCTGATTCTCCAGCTGCTGAGATTTCTAGGCTGCTGAGCAGCGTAGATGGGGAGGGTTACATACAGGGTCACTGGATTTTTGGTTTCCATTGTAGAAGTATGGAAACATTTTAAAGCAACTTTATAAACCCCGTCATTATGTAGGCAACTTTCCATTAATTGCTTAAACATAAACGCTCAGTGGCTGTTCATAGGGTTGCCATTCCACAGGTCCCGGCGGGGGTTCCCCCAGTTCTGGGGGCTCCAGTCTGCTGCCAGACAGCTGGCTGGTGGTGGTGGGAAGCGCCACCCCCAGGCCTGACTGCCCACAGCCACCCCCCTCTCCCTCCCCCCCGCAAACTTTCA